AACATGCCAGCTATGTGGGCAATCTGTGTGATAACTGCGTAGAGCTTAGTCGTCTACTGAGTATATGGCCACAAATGCTGGCACATCTCACCAACTCCTCACAGAGTTAATCCAACAGGGAGATTATCAGAGATTTCTATACTGGAGTCCATTGGGGGCAAAGCCAGGGCTGACAACAGTTTCCCTGCCTCTATTTCTAGAATGTTCTCCTCTTCCCCATCAGTCCCGGGTGTCCTATATCCTGGACACTCTCAATAGGCTTAGGATGAATGTTCCTCACTTTCCACAGCTCTGCCTCAATTGTGTGAGGAACATGAAAAAAAATATTTTATACTCCACAGATGTATTTTTTGTTTAAAAGAAAAAAAAAAAGTCAATCCAGCCGGCATGGTGATGGCCATCTTTAATCCCAGCACTTGGGAGGCAGAGGCAGGCTGATCTCTGTGACTTCGAGGTCAGTCTGGTCTACACAGTGAGTTCCAGGTCAGCTTGAGCTACATAGTAAAACCCTGTCTCAAAATCAATCAATCAATCAATCAATCAATCCAGACATTTTAATCCTATTTATTTTCTTTTTTAATTAAAACTTTTGTTTATTTATTGGTGGGGTGTGCCACAGCTTGTGTGTGGAGTTAGGTAGGGTCTATGGGTCAAACTTAGCTTGTCAGGCCTGATGGCAAAGTAACCCGCTGGGCTGTCTCATGGCCCCTCCATTTTTCTCTCTCATCTTACACTCCTACTTTCTGGCCTATCACAAGGCTTTCATGATTCCGACACCAACAAGCTGTGGTACAGGGAGAAGCTAAGTCTCCTGTTTCTCCATGCATGCCAGGAAGTCTGTCTTATCTATCTTAGCAATATAAGGAAACACTGATAGGTTTGCCGTTTGGGGAGAATCATTTTGTTTTTTAACCTTAATGGTCACTATGGAAGTTAATGGCAGATGCTGAGGTTTTTATGTGAAGTGACTCTGGGTGCTGAAGGGATTTGGGGTGTACCGGTCAGTCTTTTATTGACTGTCAGTGTGAAAAAGAAATAGGAAGAATCCACTTTTCCTAAAAGACAGGGGGAGGGAGGGGGAGTTCCCAGCCTAAGCACAGGCTCCAGCTTCTACTGGTGACCCCTCTCCTCTCGAAATGCCAACGCTGTAAGACTCAGCCAGAGGTGGGCGGGGTTTCCACTTTGCTCAGGATTTAGCTCAAGAGTCTCCGGCCTTCCAGCGGGCAGAAGGTGAAACTATTACCTACTCCAGGGATGGGCTCCATGAAAAAGTGCCCCTTTGTCAAAAAATAATATTATTAGAAAACCCTGTGAGGAAATTGTCAGTTGCCAGATTCTGGCCCAATTAATCACTGAACAGTCACGGTCGGAGACCTCCCTTCCTGGGGCTGTTCTCATGCAAGGATCATTGCAAGGCAGATTTATGAAACATGGCCCGAGCTGCTTACATTCCATGTGCTACACTTTACACATTCTTGTGGGGTCAAGGTGGGGAAAGGCACGCACACTAATAGCTTTCACGCAAACCTTCTTCCCGGCTCATTTTACCGGCACGTTACAATACACTTTTTTTAAAAAAAAAAAATAAATGACATTTTAAGGTCATGAATGAATGCTTCCTAATTTCCATTTTTAGAGGATTACAGATCTCAAAAGGGCAGTGAGAGGTTTTTAGACTATCTCAGTTTCCTGGCCACAACTCTATTTGAACCATCTCAGTAGATCTCCAAGAAGACAAAAGAACGTTTTCCTGTAAGTCTCACAATCTCGATGCACCCAGGTCCTTTTTCTTAAATCTCTGGGGTTTTGTGGTTATATGGGCCCAAGCATACGTATTTTACTCTGTGTTTAAAGTCCTAAAATAAGTGCCCCCTTGCGGAATACTTCTACAAAAGGCTTGCAAGGTGGTTCAGAGGGTAAGTGTGCTTGCTGCCAAGGCCAACGCCATGAGTTCAAGCCCTAGAACCCACATAAAGGATAGAAGAGATTCCTTCAAGTTGTCCTCTGACCTCACAGACCCACAGTGGCACACGTGTACCCACGTACTTACACAGACACACTAAAATAGATGTTTAAAAAAGTAAAAAGAGAAAGGAAATATTCAACAAAGCTGTTGAATCCAAAGGCCACCACGAAGTGGGTCTACCATCTTGCTGGAACCCTCCCACCCACCCACCCAGGGTGTTGGCTTCTTGGCAGGAGGCCGAAGGTCCTAAGGCTTTGCGTTAATTTTTTTTCTGACCTGAATGGTCAGCCAGAGTCTGTCTTTGTTCCATTTGTCAAAACACCATTGTTCTTTCTCTTCACTGTGGTGGTTTCATTTCCATTGTTTACATTATCAGAAGTCAGAACAGCCTTGAGTGGATGGACACAGGGCTTGTTGACGGCCTTTGTGGCCAGGAGCCAGGCTCATCTTGGGTGTTCAGCGGACCGTGGAAATCATAGCCTGCCAAGCAACTTTGGCTCCGTCGCAAGGTTACCACTCACAAAAGAGTTTCTGTCACCGTTCGCTCTGTCCCAGGGCCACGGCACACTGGATGGTGAGTCCCAGAAGAGGGCATTCTCTGCTCCCAGACCTGCTATCTTTATGTACAACAAGAGGCTCATTAAGGAGAAAGCACAACATTTTGCTAAGAGAAGTATCGGATAGGCCGGGTTTTGTTCTGTTGTTGTTGTGTTTTGTACTTTTAAAGAGATTGTGTTCTTACATTGTTGTGAAAAGACACTCACTGTTCAAAGTTAACCTGGGACCTCACCTTCATGGGGGACAGAGTAACTGGGACATATTAGCTCCTGAGAAGAAATAATACGTTTTGAATGATCCTTCAGTTGTGAATTGTTTTATATTGGACTTTACTCTTATTTGCTCAAAAACCATATTTTAAAACAATTTAAAATGCCGTGTACCCATGCTGGGTGAGGTGGTGCAGGCCTATAATAATCCCAATACTTGGAAGAAAGAGGCAGGAAAATTGCGAGTTTGACACCAGCCTGGGCTCTATAATAAAATCTTGTCGTAAATAAGTAAATAGAATAAACAAAACATAGGATAACAACACTGAAAATCCTTATTCTTATGTTAAGTGTCAAATACTGTGTGAAAGGGGATTACTTAAAAAATGGTAATTGCCTTTTCTGATTCTATAAATTGTCATCTTAAAGTTTGTTGGGATCATTTATTAAATATGTGAATATTTAAAAAATAATTACGGGAATTCAGTTGGGCCATTTGGGGTATTCTTTCAGAGAAGGTCTGGTCAACTTTCCTGAGGGAAAGTACTAGTTTCATATATGGGCTCCATGCAAAGGATGGCTTTATATTTCTAGAAACCAACAGTAGATGTGAAAGAACAAAGAACAATGTCTTCAAAGCCTGAGTGAAATAATCCTTATTCTGTAACGACCAAAACGGGGAAACACCGGTGAAAAGGAGGCTAACATCATTTTGAGATATATAAGCTCCGAATCCACGTCGCTTTCAGTGTTTTCTGGCCCTGGACACTAGTCTGCGTGGACGGTACTGATGAGACCCAGCCTTCCACTCCCAGGAGTCTGGCCATTGGTAAACACTGGCTGAGTTGAGAAGGAAGGAGAAAAATACATCATCAGCCTACTTGTTAGCTGTATTCCTTCCCGAAGGTCAGCCCTCCTTGTGGACAGACCTCCTCACTCTCTCTGGTCTCTTCTCTCAGGCTCAGGGATGGGGGATGGGGATAGGCTCCCTGCTGGCCAGAGCCTGGAAACTCAACACCCCTATTAGTTTTACTTAGTCTTGCTTACATGTTAAGATATAGACTATGCATTTACTATCCCTCAGTGACTCTACTGGAGTGTATTTCTGTCTCCTGCAGGACCCTAACCCACATGGTTGCCTGGAAGACCAATGGATGGTGCTGGCTTACTTAACTCTCTAACATGGCACAGTGGTTAGAATTACTTTGGACTCACCTCCTCCTGGGTTCTGCCACACACCAGCTGTAAGAGTTTGGACAAATGACTAGCTCTCTATGTCTCATATGAAAAAAAAGAGAGATTTAGTTGATTGACTGACTGGAGATTCTAAGAATAGAGTTTAAGACCTCAGGCATGTACTCAACCACCTAGTCACATCTTCAGCTCAAAAATGGGGTTAGTTTTTATGACTTAATTTTTTTCATGTGTATGTGTGCTGGCATGCATGTGGGCACATGTATGTGGGGTGTGTATAACGTGTGCACATGTGCATGTAGAGGCCAGAGGCTGACATCAGGAGTCTTCCCCAGCTGCCCTCCATCTTGTTCATTGAGGTGAGGTCTCTTAGTTAGACACAGAACTCACCAATAGAGCTAGCCTGGCTAACCAGCTTGCTGTAGGCATCTCCTGCTTCTGCCTTCCAAGTGCTGGAATTGCAAGCAGACCTGGACTGTAAATGGATTCTGGAAAGACAAATTCGGGTCCTCAGGGCGGCATGGCAAGGGTTTAATCACCGAGCCATCTCCCCAGCCCTGTTTTTATGACTTTTTACTTGGCATGTCTGTGAGGACCAAATGATACAATCTTAGAAAACATGTCGTACAGTGGCTGTCACTTAGTAAGAACTCTATAAAAAGCAGTTACTGCTATTTCCTATGATTATCCCAGTGCCCTTGCTAGCCTGCCCTGCAAAGAGGCCAAGTGGGAATAAAGCCCCAAAGCTGTATTTATGTTTCCTTAAAGGTTCAGAAGGAAGCTTCAATGAGGGGAAAGCTTCATCCATGTCTCTGCAATATGCCTTTGGGGTGAGAATGATGCTCTTGCTTCCTGGGTTGAATCCTAGCAGGCATGGCTGCTGGCCTCTGACAGCTGACTCTGCGTTTTGCCCCCAGACCTCAAAAAAGGGACAGAACCAAGACATGCATTTTAGAGGCTTGGGAATTTCCAGCTACCTGACCCGCTCTCCTTTGAAGAGAGAATGATTCAGAAATGGTGGTGGGGGATGGGAAATCACCGTGGGATTCCTGAAGGAGCAGAAAAGCAGATTCTTTTTGTAATTCCCACACAGTGCATTGGCATTGTTCTTTATTGTAATTAACAACATGATAACAAAAAAATCCATTTTAAGGAAGCAAAATGGGGAATGCTAGGACTTGGTCTGAATAGGGAGTGTGGTGCCAGACTTCAGCGCTAACTGTGTGGAGGAAACATTCTGTGACAAAGCATTTGGATTCCACTCTGGCCTGTGGATCTTGCTGTGATCTGACTGGATCACAGTTGCATGAATGACACCAGAGGCTGATGCGAATGCGCATGCGTCTCGGACCCTCAGTCATCTCCACTTCCTCCCTTTTGGATTCTGAGTCCTGAAGGTTCTGTCCAACCCTACAGCTGCTGCTGTGCCCACACTGTATTTTGGATGGAGAAGGGTGGCCCTCCCAGTCTCCCAGCTTAGGCTTCCTTGTTAAGGATGCGGTGTAACGACCCCTTCTTGAAATGGCAGTTGTGAGAAGTAAAGAGAATGGAGGAGAGCCTCGAGGATGCAGTAAAGAATAGCTAATAAGAGCGCATATCGCTGTAAAAAGAAGGCAGGAGGAGGAGGGAAGGAGGACAGAGGAAGAGGAAAAACACTTCCTGATTCCACGGAGCAGCCACCCCACAGCAAGCCATTTGGGAAGCATAGGAGTGAGTTTATACATACTTTGAAAAATCTGAACGCTCTTTTAAAGAGGATTGTTAAATTTCCCACTAGGGTTGTTTCTGTTCATAAGTTTCAGCTTAGAAATATGTCTTGATTGTGGCAATATTTTAGTTTTTACATCAAACATCATCAGTTCTTTTTTTCGTTTTTCTTTTTTATCTTTTTCAGTTTCATCCACAGCTTTGGTTACTCTTGCCCAGTCATCCTAGGGTCACCCAAGTACTTTTATTCTAGAGACCTTCCAAAGTCAGCCAAGGCAGTGGTTTTGAAAACTGTCCTTGTTTGTCGACAAAAGTACATTAAAACAACCAAGGGACTGACTTCTGTCCAGGATGATTATTTTTAATGTCTTACTGGACACGTTTGAAATGCTTTTTGGGTCCTTGGGGAGTTGAATTGGGAGAAATTGCTTTTTTCTTCTTGTATTTTGTTTTAAGTCTTGGGATGTGATTTTTGGTGAATGTCTGTGATGTTTGCACATTGTGTTATACTCCCTCCAAAGGCTGCTGGGATTTCATCAGCATCAAAAGGCAACAAAGGCACAGGATGGAGAAGATGAGCCATTTCTCCCAGCTTCCTGCTCCTCTTCCTTTGACTATGCTGCTCCAGGAGCTTTAGAGGATTGGTCTTTCAGGTTGGATCAGCCAGGCGCTCCAACTCTTTCCACACCAGAACAACTTCCGCTCCAGTCACCAGTGACTAAGTCTAGAAAAAGACACCATCAATATGCCAAGTATCCCAGTGAAGTGCAATGATGTTTTTCTAATTATGACAACCTCGTAATTAGCCCATTATTCGCATACTCACCAGAGACCCTCTCTGTGAAACTTGAGTGGTCATTAGTCTCTCTAGATAACACAGTGAGGAACTGAAGAGAATCCAGACAACTTCCTGGATCTGGTGTAAGTGAAGATTTTTCTGTAATGCTTCTGTTTTAAAATAATGATTTATTATTATTAATTATTATTATTACTATTATTATTATTAATGTATGTTTGGAGGTCAGAGGACAACTTTGCAGAATTAGTTCTCTCTTCCATCCAGGAACAAAACACAGGTGGTAAAGTTTGTGCATCACGTGCCTTTGCCTACGCTGAGCCATCTCACTGGCCCCCAAGGACACTTATTAGAGGAGAAAGTGCCTCAAATTATGACCAAATCCTGTAGCATAACCAGAACCCAGAACCCAGTATTATATGCCCCAGTTTGGTTGCTGGGCCTGTAAAAGTTACTTGGCAAGGGAAAGTGAATGCTCTTTGTAAGAGAAAGTGGGTCCTCCCTTCACACAACCCATATGTTATCTTATCCGAGAGGGACGAGACATGATGCTCTCAAAAGTCTTGTGCGTTGTGTAACTTTCTGCAAACTTAAGACTCAAGTCCGTGAAAAAATGTTTTCCATATCCCATTCAACTGGGTGATACCCGAAGAAGGTGCCAGGTTGAATTAGGAAAAGTTGAATGACATCTTAGCAATACTTAGACTCCCCATACCCACATGAATACTAAAGACATGGGTGGTATTTCCTTTAAAACAATGATGAGCAGCTACCTCCAGGATTCATCTTTCATAAAAGCTCAGTGGATGAAGGTCTGACACACTCTCCATTCTATGGCACTGTGTGCATGTAACCCTCCTGCTGTGAGCAGGCAATGTGGTCTCTTGTTTGAAAACCTAATTTCTGAGCACAGAGCCAAGTGAGGGTCGGGATGGGTGTTCTGCTTCCTTCTCGGATCCATTTGTGATGGACTCCGGGCTGCATTCAGGGAAAAAAAAAGAAAAAAAAAAAAAAAAAAAAAAAAAAAAAAAAAAAAAAAAAAAAAAAAACTTGTCTTTACAGAAACAAGACTAGCTTGACTGAACAGATGGCCCTGCTTGTCCGATAATAATAATGATACACTGTGTTTATTTGAAAGATGACTCAATTATTCATTCTGACTCCAAGGTCCCAGTGCAAAATCCTGGATTCCAATCCTGTGGATTTATCACACCCACTGGAGGATTCTGGCTTTCCAAACCTCTGCATGGATCGTCGTCTTCCATTAGAGTGGGTTCGCCCTTTCCAAATGATAAAATCTTTCTTCCCTGGCCTGAGTTTCCCTCAACTTCTTTCAAACCACGATCTGTGTAAACAATGTGTGAGAACACAGGACAATAGGAAGCACTGGTGGGAACGCTGCAATAAATATGTCAGGTACATAAACTCGCTGATGATATTTATTTGGTTCTCAAGAAGAAAGTATTGGGATATGATAAATTACGACCATTTTTCAACATCTCCGATTTCTCTAGTAATGCATATATGTTGGCAGACCTCAGTGGATCTTGCTAATTTATTTGTAGATCATCAAAGAAACACATAAAATGTAAGTCTCCAGGCAAGCAAACTGACTGGGAAGCTGAATTGGGTAACAGCAGTATTTTCCTACACCGTAAGTAAACATGTCAACATGATGACAAGGGTTTTTGTCCCACTCCTGGCTGAACTCTGAGGGGTGAGATGGCTAATATCGAGGGACTCGGCTTTGTAGTCTCCCTCACAGAGTGTCTCATGACTCCAGAGAAGGATACTCTGCAGCTTGACACAGAGAACAGGGTCAGAATATTTCTTAACAGAGATTCCTATGGTGTCATTGAATTACAGCAGAGGTTCAGGATTTTCTGTGCCTTCATAGGCTGTATTTTAAAGTAGGCACACTTTTTTAAAGCTAATGTGCTATAAAATGGAGTCACAGTGAATCCCCATTATGAAAGTGGTGGGAAATGACATGGGGAGAGGAAGTAAAATATGGATCTGTACATACACCACAAGCTGATACTCCAAAGATGATCTTTGTGAACATAAAAGTTAATGCTGTCTTTGATTGGTGAGATTTCAAAACACACTAGCACAGATTCTGTTACCAGATGAGAGCCATGGACCTAGCGTTATTTCCTCCTTTTGCTTGGCTGTCAGGAAACGCAGAGCCACATCTTTCTGCTTGATTATATTAACTATTTTCATCCTTTGATTTTTAATATTTTAATATGAGACAATCTTTTCATCTCACTAGCCCCACTTAACGCTGGTCTTTTACCCTTGCTAATGGCTTGCTTAAGACTTCCTTTCTTGTAAAGAAAAAAATTTTTTTTTTTGAGTCAGGGTTTCTCTGTGTAGCCCTGGCTGTCCTGGAACTCTGTAGACCAGGCTGGCCTTAAACTCAGAGAGATATGCCTGCCTCTGCCTCCTGATTGCTGGGATTAAAGGTGTGTGCCACCACCAACTGGCCACATTTTTGATGTATAAAGAGAAAGAGGTGCCACACAGACAGATTCTGCCATTTTAAGAGCTAATGCTGCCCTCACGCAGTTTGATGATGACATCTCTTTCCTTCCTTCCTTCCTTCCTTCCTTCCTTCCTTCCTTCCTTCCTTCCTTCCTTCTTTTCTTTTGTTTTTTGAATCAGGGTTTCTCTGTGTAGCCCTGGCTATCCTGGAACTCACTCTATAGACCAGGATGGCCTCCAACTCACAGAGATCTACCTGCCTCTTCCTCTCAAGTCCTGGGATTAAACGTGTGCTGTACCATGCCAGGCATAAAATAAAAATCTTAAGTAAAAGATGTATACTTATTATTTACCACCCAAACCAGGGCACTTTGGAAATACAGGGAGAGCAGTTTATAATTAACTGGGGACAGCAGCTCAGACTGAGACAGTCTTTCCCAAAATGAATGATCCTCCAGTACAGAGTACACATCACAGATAATGGTTATTCCATTCCCGGGTAGGAGATAATTAAAGACAAATATGGACCTGACACAGAGAACCATGGCTAAGTTATGTGCTTATTTATCTTGCATCACACGTGTTGATTGGAGTGTAATATTTATTATCTCTTGGGAAGTTTTATAATTAGCCTCTGTATCAATAGCAAAAAACATGCTGGGCTTTGGATGTGATTTCTACAGTGATGGGGTTGTTTCAGATCTGGAAGGGTGATCACAATAGGACACTGACTATTGGACTGTGATTTATGGAGTCTTGGATAAACACACTATAGAGTAGTGTTAGATTTCCAATGACTCTGTCCTGTTTTTCCTGAGTCGCTTCTCATAAACGTTTGTAATTCTTGAACAGCAAGCTGATACCATGCTTAAGCTTATTTACAGAACTGTTAACAAATGCTGCGAGGTAGTTTCAGGAAGAGGCTCAAACTGCTTTTTCTCTGCATTTGCTGAAAACACTCTCCTTCTTCTTTGGGAAAACACGGGATTGCCAGAGTCCTGGATAGGTGCTTCAGATGTCGTAAACAGTAATAGTAATGGAGAGTCAGCAGAAGGCTCAAAGTCAAAGGTCTGAAACTCAGCCAGTGCCGGGACATGACCGGACAATTTTTCAGACATGAAAGAGTGGGATTTCAGCATGCGGAAAACATAAGGAAGATAGTAATTCATTTCTGTGCATGGTTAGAATGTGTGCTTGTGATGCACGGAACACGCCATTCTGTGAAGGCTGTAATTCAAGCTGAGGCTGGCTGACTTATTTTTTGGTCAAGGTTACTATCTGATTAGCCAAACTGAAAGTTTAATAACTACCAGTTATTAATGTTCTATTGTATGCCAGGCAACACACCAATACTTTATATATTTTTTAATGTACTGGGATTTTAGGAGTATTGCCTGACCTTTTCATTCACTCATTTGTCCCATCATTCAGTCAACATTCGTTGGTCTCTTTTCCTTTGCCACGCATTGTGTAAAAAGTATAAATGAATCATAACATTTTTTTTTTTTCCCGAGACAGGGTTTCCCTGTGTAGCTTTGCGCCTTTCCTGGAGCTCACTTGGTAGCCCAGGCTGGCCTCGAACTCACAGAGATCCGCCTG